CTAGCGGGGCTGCCTACCCGCACTAGCATCCCATCCTCGTCGCCAATTGTTAAGTCGTGCGCTTAACAAAGAGTCGGAGAGTGATTCAGCAAGAATTGCGGTTTATTCTTCAGCTCAGTTACTTCTCCGTTGCGGTACAACAATCGCCAGCCAGAACCCATCACAGATCAGAACAAATACACTGGCTTGTCTATATTTAAACACTCCCGGCTAATGTAGCCACACCCCCTGTACAGATAACAACCTATGAGATTGAAGATACAATGCCCAATCACAAGCGGTCCCGCTTTGTAACGTGATTGGTAGACACTCCCTGGGCTAGGACTCCTATTGGTTACATTAGGATCCTAGCCCAGGCTGAAGCTTAACATTAAGTTTCAATGAGGCGATTCGCATGTCAGTATTTACATTCAAGTCAATACATAACAATTTGGTACTTGGGCCCCAAAGCTTGCCTACCACTGGTCTGCTGCATCAGAAGTCTTTGCAATTACATTATTACATTACATGACAAACTCAATGCAAGAGGCAAAAATAAACAGGGTTTGCCCACCCTCGAGAAATAAATATTAGCAAAGTAACAACATGCTTTTGAGGAATGCTGGATACCACTTTGGACTGCCCTAAGATTTGTATTTAGGATGCAGAGATAATAACACTCTTCTACTTCACATGGGAGAGACTTTATCTGGAAAAATAATGCTACTAGTAACTTATACCTTCACTTTCTTCACCCAAATCTCCCATAAAAGCCAGGATACCTGGCACCAGATATATTATCTGATTATGCCCGTCCTGATTTTCTAATTCAGGTGGATAGCTGTGTTGGCCCAAAGCAACAGAGCAAAGTTTGAGTCCAGTGGTACCTTTAAGACCAACAACATTTAATTCTGGGTATAAGCTGTCGTGTACATCAGACTCAAACTTTGTTCTACTGATTTCCTGAAACATGCATGTACATTAACTATTCCCCAAATCCAGTAATGTCTGTATGCTCAGTCCTCCCTCACCACACAGACAATTACTTCCAGAAACGCACTCACAAGAACTGCCAAAGCAGCCCTATACCTTAATTTTTTTTTAATTTCATGCATGTTAATGGAAACAAGCACTTCTATACCTTTGTTATCAGGTCTCACTGAATTTTGATCGCCACTCACTGCACGCATAGAGAAGTTTTGAAGAGTGGAAAGGAACTTTTATTGTTGTTTTTGTACAATACCATCAGTGAGCACAGTACTTTTACAGAGTTTCATAAGCAAAAATTAGACAGCTTCCTGCCCCCAAGGAACATCAAAGTTTAAAATGTATGGTATATAATGAAAGAACCAGGTATGCCCAGTATCATGAAAGGACTATTGAGAAACATTTTTCAGATATTTCAAGAATTGTCATGACAATGTAGAAGTATTCTCTCTCTGCTAAGTCTAGATAGAGAGACAATAGTTTTAAATTGCAAGAAGATAAATACAGCTAAACTTGAAAGCAAACATTTGTGATGACAAAAGGAGAAACAGAGGAAGCTGTCACAACAATCTCATGTATTGAATTTAAAAAGGAAGAAGCAACTTTACAAGAAACCCTTTAAGAATAACTTAAATCTTGTGAATCCCTTCCTATACTACTGAGTGTGTTCTGTATTGCACCAGACAGCACACTCCTGGTCTATGACTGGGATGTTAAAGGTGATGAGTGGCATTTTCCTTCTACCAACTTTAGGGGCTGTACTTTTGGAACTGTGCTCTAGCAAAGAACCCTTCTAAGCAGAACAGCAGTTTTATGACTTGACTTGTTCATACTGGCAAGCACTGTTGCCAGTTCTAATATTTCACTGCTGGAAAAACTGACTGCCAGTCTTCATGGAAGGTGGCGTGAGCAAACCTTGACCAAAGTGGATGGCTTTCTAGGATACTGCGTTCAAGTTCAAAAAGGAATCTCCTCCCTGTGGCTACTAGCCTAAGCTGATGTAACCAAACTTCTTCATATTCTTGGTTTCCTAAGGCTTCTCTCTGATCCTTGTTTACATGCTGGGGAGTTGTGCAAGTCCAGTACATGCAGTTCTTCTACAAAGCCTTTTTTTTTCTTTTTGAGAAAGCCATCTCTTGTAAATCTAACTTTAGTATCAATGTCACAAAGGACAGTTGTCTTTCACAATACCAAACCCAGGTCTTGTTAGCTTCTGAGAAAGGAAAGTCTGTCATTTTTCTAGAAAAGATCTAGTCATTTTTAGTATATGACCCTTATCTTTAAAGTTAAAAGGCAGCACTTTTTATAGGAGAGTGTCAGTGCAATCCTTAACACAGCTATAGCTTTCCAAACTCATGGACATCAACGGACTTAGAAAGATGCAACTCTGCTTAGGATGGCACTGTAAATTGTGTATTTTATGGGCTACATCTCCCACTTTAACAGCTTCTTTGAGAGTTCAGAGTTTAATGTACACAAAACACTTCTGAAGGTTTTGACCTTTAAAACTGAGGCGGTTTACTGAACAATTATATTTTTAACAATCTGTTTAGTGTGTGTGTATACATATACACAAACACATACATTTCTTTTGTCTAGGGCACAACTAAGAGCTAATAATTCACAAATATGAAGGCATCTCTTTCTTCACAACATACGTATGCAGCCTGGAGAGCAATTGTGAAAAATAAAGAAGTTACCCTCATGCAGAATGAAACTACTGTAGTGAATTCATTAGACCAAGTAAATATTTTCCATGATCCAAGTTAAACAAAGCAGATCACAGTACACAATGAATGCTTCTTTAAAAGTACTAAAACAAGAACACTACCTTGGCTGAACTGGAAAAAATTCACTGGAAAAACATCTCTATACTATCAGCCATAAAGATAACAGGATGCAAGAAGAAAAATGTAACTATGAAGTATAAATATATTTTTATTATAAAATACAATAGTGTACAAGAATCACTGATATGCCACACACTTTGGATCCACAAACATGGAATTTAAATTTAACACATTTTACAGAACCCTCCTATGTAAGTTTACAAGTAGTGTAGTGAGACTTCCTCTCACAACTCAGGTCACTAGCTGTCAAAAAAACCTTCCAGATTCCAACTTAAATATGATGTTCTGGCAAAAAAGACTGGATTTGAATTTTTTTTCTCCTGCTTTGTTATTTTTCACAGTATTATTCTCTTAATTTTGGCTTATTTGATTGTCAAAGATGAATTCAAGGCAAATCCCTACAGCACGAAAAAAATATTAAAGCATGACAGCCATGCAAAACAGCATCTCATTTCACCATTCAGACATTTCTCCACAAAGCTAGAAGCAAAAAAGAAATGATTCCCTGGAAACTGGTCTGCATGTGTGTATGCCAAGTTTCAGTTGAAAGGTCCTTACCACAGACACACAGAGAAGCACAGACACACAGTAGTTAAGCTAGGCTGTCTATTATTTAACTGCTTTGCATGCAGGCAATTCCTTTCCAGTTACTGCCAAATTCAGTTAAAGTATGTAGCAATCTCCGTTCTGGAACAGAAAAACGTTGCTTGCTAAATATAAACCACATACACACACAATGTTTAGATGGAACTTTTTTCTTTTCTTTTTTGCTGGTGAAAGGCTTTGCTGGTGAAAGGCGAAAGAGGCAAACGCACTCAGCGATTCAATAGTTGAAAAGTACAGAGACTAGTCTCTTCAAAAGGCAGCAGGAAACTGGCTTCGTTCTCACAGTCATAAACCTGAGTCTGGGCTGTACCACTTCCAGACGGCAGCTGGGGAACGGTCAAGTGTTTGACTGCTCCTCCATACAGGAAGATAAAGACCCTACACAAATACATGCCAGGGATAAATGCTGTAATCTCTCTTATTCGTATGAGGCTAATTTTCGACTTGCAGGGCTCTTGTGTTGTTTACTGGAGGAGCATTCAGGAATGTGAACCCCGCCACGAACACCCCGCCTACAGTGGTACAGTACAGAGACAGGTTTTTCCATCTCTCGCAGGACTCCTTAGAATCAATCTCCACCTGGTGAACGGAAGTGAGGGAGGAATTCCAGACTGGGGAGGGGGGCGCGCGCAAGGGAGGAGGGGAGCGTCTGCCCGCAGGCCCACCAGACGGCACAACCCCCTCTTCGCCAAAGCTTCTGAAAACAACCCCCCGGGGGGGGGGGAAGAGGACGACGATCGAGCCGAGCCTAAAGCAAGTCCACATCTGGCCAAGTGTGAGCCGGGAGGAACTGAAAGACAAAGCCCTTCGCCTGATCACCGGCTTTCCTCAGGGTGGACATCCTTCCGTTCTTTATCGCCTGACAACTGCAACGTTTTCCCCACCCCCCCACCCCGCCGCTTTGTCGCTCCTCACTCCAAGCAGACACACTTTCAGCTCTCGTATCGCCATCATCTGCTTGGGGCGTAACGGCTTCGCATCCTCCGGAGGAGCCAACCCCCTGGGCTCCCTCTCACAGTGCCCGATTCCACGGAACGGAGGGAAAGCAGTCGCGGCTATTTCTGGGCAGCCCCAGCCCTTAGCCGCCACCGGTCACATGAGCACAGGCCCGGCTTCAGCTCCTCCTCGCGTCTTTTTGGTGTTTTCCTCACCCAAACCCGACACGAACCAAATATCTACGCTTCAGCATATTTCAGGAGACGCGGTTGCATTCTTGGGTCTCTGCTCTGGTGCCGCTGCTTGAACAGTCCCAGGCAGCAAGGAAGAACGCAAATCCAGCAGCTCACAATACTAAATAATTAGTTCCCCGCCCATTTCGCACATTCCTTCTGAACGGATTGTTCGATAGCTCAATAGAAAGGGGTGTGTGCGTGAATGGGGAAGAAGAGAATGGCCTACAAGCCAACTAAACAAAAATCTTAATTCTAAAAACTTTTTTTTAAAAAAAAGCAAATTCAAGCAAGAACAATTTTTGAAGCAAATTGTATCTTTAAAAAAAAAGTCATGAAAAATTAAGAACTGTTTGAAAAGTTTATTCTCCTATATTACAGGTGCATTTTCCAGAAATTCTTTAATCCCCACCCCGCCCGCCCCTTAGGGAAAACATCACATAGTATTTTTGGCATATTTATTCAAGAAGAAGAGGAGGAGGAGATTGGATTTATATCCCGCCCTTCACTCAGAGTCTCAGAATGGTTTACAAGCTCCTTTCCCTTCCCCTGAGGCTGAGGGAGGGCTGACAGAAACTGCTCTTTTTCAAGAACAGCTCTGACAGAGCTACGGCTTACCCAAGGTCATTCAGCAGCTGCAAGTGGAGGAATGGGGTATCAAACCTGGTTCTTCCAGATTAGAGTCTGCGCACTTAACCACCACATCAAACTGGTTTGGACCTTCATTTATGGAATGTCCTGCAGCATGTGTAGTTGTACCTTTTTGCTAATTTTATTTGGGGGGAGTCAAAGTCATATGCTTAGTAAACAAAATAAGATTTATTATTTGGACTTGGTGAGTTATCCTAAACAGGTCTACTCAGAATTCAGTCTCATTTTATTCACTGGAACTTACTCTTAGGAAAGTGTTCTTAGGAGCCTTAAGATACTATCCTGATTAAATATTAAGGACCATTAACAGATATGAATATAGGGGAGGTGCCCTGGCTCAGTGGTAGAACTTCTGCTTGGCATGCAGAAAGTCCTGTATTCAGCCCCTAGAATCTTCAGTAGAGAAGACCAGGTAGTAGGTGATGTGAAAGACCTCCATCTGAGACCCTTGAGAGCTGGTGCCAGTTTGAGTAGACAGTACTGATCCTAATAAACCGATGGTCTGATTCATGTGTTCATGTGAGTTACAGTTCAGTTGTAATTCTAGGGGATCTCTAGGCCCCACCTGGAGTTTGGTAACCCTGGGAGTAGGAACCTGTGGATGACTAACAGTAGTGGAGCTGGAATGATAGAAACTTTAAAATGTGCATGTTGAACAGTGTCAACAGGCAAGTATCCAAACAAATATTCACAAATATGAGGGCATGAACTAGTCTTTCAAGTGGAAAAACTTCAAACGCAACAGCAGAACGGTGGAGTCTGCCAACACTCTCTATAGCTGTAAACCTCTCACTGGCTACATTCAAAACTGCACATGAGAAGGAACACCAGGGGTCATTTCCTGTGGGAGCGCACAGGAGCGGAGCTCTGACAGTAAGGAGCCCAGGGGGCAGGCACATGCAAACAAGCCCCACACCCTGCTCCCAGCAGCCCTCAGTTGGGCCACGAGGAGCAAGAAGCAGCCAGGTAAGTTGCAGAGGCCCCCCCCCCAGCCCGCCTTCAGGTACAAGCTCTCCCTCCTCTGTGAGGGCAGATCTGCGCATTCCCCCCCCCCAATAGCTAGCAATCCAAAACAGTCCAGTGGAGCCTGAGTGGTGGGTGTTGCCTTCTGACACACTTCCGGTGATGTCAGGGGGTGTGGCATATGCAAATAAGTTATGCTAATAAGTTATGCTAATGAGCTCCTGCACCTCTTTTTCTACTAAATGACCCCTGAGGAACACACCAGCAGTATCAGTACTAAATTAGTTGAAATCTTTAGTAAGAAATAAATAAGGTTGCCAACATCCAGAATTCTCCTAGAATTACAACTAGGGTTGCCAGGTCTTACCTGGCTGCTGGTGGGGGGCTCCAGACCAGGTTCCTGGATCTTCCTGATCACCACAGAGTTTTTAGCCAAATGCTAGAGCGTTCCTCTGTGACATGACCAGCGCGATGATGCCACCTCTGGGTGACATCATCGTGCCTGGCACATTGAGCATGCCAGGGCTCTTTGGTGGTGGGTCTCCCCCCACCAGCCAGATGGCCAGTGGATTGGGGGCTTGAAAGTGGGAAAAAACCCACCCCATTGGGGGAATGGCAATGCTAATTACAACTGATATCAGTTGCCCTGGATGAGATGACAGTTTTGAACTCTAAAGTATACCATATATTTTAAGTGAAATCCCTGCCCACCATAGGCACTCCCCCCCAAAAAAAATCTCTTAGGAATTTCACAGGATGGAGTTGGCAGGGCAGCCCTAACTAGGAATGAAAAGAGAGCCCAGTTAACCAAATAAACATCATTAATTAATCTGAATGCAATGACCCAGAGGGTCAGAACAATACACTGTAGTGGAAGCATGATTTCTCCACTTACAGGTTCCTTTTTTAGCCAGGATAAATCTAATAAAATTTAATTTACTTATGTTGGCTTTAAAAGATTTTTTTCTGTCATGCAGAAACTAAATGCTTATATATGCGTACTAAGGAAAAAACAACCTAAGTAACATTGGTGGGTGTTTCTGTCCCTACTTACAGCATCTTCATTATCCATGAAAAAGGCTGAGGATAAGGAGGATACCTCCTACTAAAATGAGAAGTATTAATACAAATAGGATTGGGGGGGGGATTGTGAGCAACTGAAGCTCTAGATGATTCACTTTAGGCGCACATCAAAGTAAATGGTTACAGATCTGAAGAATTCATATTAACCAGAGGTACTAATAAAGGATGCCCATTATCCCCATTATTGTTTGCTTTAGTGATTGGACCTCTGGCAGAAGCAATTAGGAATAATCCAAAAATTAGTGGTAATAAAATTGTCACGATAGAATACAAAATCAGCTTATTTACCAATGGTATTATAGTATAGCTCAGCTGTTCTCCTAAGCCGTAAGTAAGCCGCTCAGAGACCCCTAGACAAGGGATTCGAGCGGGATATCAAATCGAATGTATAAATAAATATAAATAAATAAATAAAGCACTCCTCTATTTCCCAGTTTGGTCCAGTTTCTAGTTTGAATGTCAATTATACAAAAAACGAGATTTATCCAATTTATATAACTTCAACTACAATTACTCATTTAAAAGAGCAATTTAATTTTAAATTGATAGACAAGACATGGGAATATTTAGGGATAAATATACCCAGAGACCTCAATGAACTACTAATATATCATTACAAACAGGTAAGAAAATCAATTTGACCTTTAAAAACTGGACATCTCTAAAGATCACCTGGTTAGAAAGACCTGACAGTTTAAAATATAAAATTTCCTCAATTCTTGTTTATGTTTCAGAATATATCTATTAAAATACAGGGTAATGATCGAAAGAATTGGCAATATAAATACATTTGTCTGGGAAAATAAAAGGCCTAGAATCGGCTTCCAAGTTTTAAAACGCCCACCAAAACTTGATGGATATGGCCTTCCTGATCTGACTACATATTACGAAGCAACACAACTTAAAAATTTAGTTGCATACTTTAATTATGCCAATGCCAAACGCTGAGTAAGAATAAAACAAACTTTTACTGGTAAGGCTCACTTGGAAGATGTAATCTGGAATAAACCAGGCGAATAACCTAATTCTATAAAATTTAATCCCTTTCTGGAAAATACTTTAAATATATGGGATAAGGGGGCGGAGCCAAGTGACGCATCATGGCGGTCGCATGATTTAGCCGCTCCACAGAAACTCTTATCCCCCGGCTACAGAAATCATTAAAAATCGCCTTCTATGCAGAAATAAGGCATGGGAAAGTCTGGAGGAGGCAAAGGAAGATCGGCGAAGAAAGACCCAACTTTGGTAGCTACTTACTTCAGGAAAGAAACAACTCCAACGTCTCCAGTAGCTAGGAGTTCTAAAATGGCTGCTGCAAAAGACTCCTCGGAGCCTAATGAAGGCCCCGTTAATAAGAAAGACATACTAGACCTAAAGGAGGACCTGCAAAACTTCTTTAAAGAGTCTATGGCAGAACTTTTACACCCTGTTCAAGCCAAATTCGACGAACTAACAGAAGGTCTGGGAGCAGCGGGCCGGGGAGCAAAGTCGGCCCTGGAAGCAGCGAAGCCCCTTCAAATTGACGTAAAGGCCTTGAAACGTTCAGAGTCTCTGCTGCAAGCAAAGATTGTTACTTTGGAAAACAGATGGTGTCAATTTAATGTGAAGATCAGAGGAATAGAAGAGGGGGCAGAACAAAGTATGAAGGACTTTATCTTCTTTTATTTCGGGATGGTTGGCTAAAGCTCTGAATGCAGAAGAGGGCTTAGCCCCAGCAATTGCAAAAGCGCAACGTCTAGGTCCATTAGCGGTAGCCTGCCAAAGCCACCCAAGAGACATCCTTGTGCAATTTGTACATGCAGCAACAAGAGACCGTGTCCTTAAGGCTGCAAGGCAAAAAACCACTTTCAATTAGTGGTCAGAAGATTCTTGAACTGCTGGATTTACCTCCAGAGATTTTAGAAAAAAGAAAGCTGTTAAAGCCTTTTTCTTTGAAACTGCTAGAAGCCAAGATCCGCTTTAGATGGAGTGCAACTTCTAACATTACGGGTCTCTGTTTCAAGCCTCTGACTTAAGGACTGGACTGGCTCTCCTTAAGACGTTAAAGGTGGACCTAACCCAGGAAGAAAGAGAAGCCATTGAAGCACACCCTGCTTTTGAAAAAACCAAGACACAGGAGACTGACTTTTATTCTTTTAAATACATTGTTAACTCAGTTTTAATGCAATTTAATGCATTTACAGTTAACCCTAAACTTTGGAGACGAATTTATTGGTATCTGTGACGTCCTCCTTATTGGGGAGGACTAGTTTCCCTTTAAAAGTGTTCTGTTTATTTTGTTCTACTGGGTATAGTTGGCTGCCACCAGGAAATTTTAAGGATTTCCAA